CGTACTATTATGATCATTGCATCAATAGAGGTGATACAAGAAATCGTTTACCCCGCATTCGAAGAGAGGGTTTTTTTTATACAGTAGTGTCCCCCATAAAGTTCGCTACATATGGGGAAATATTTTATTTGTAGGATATGGAATTTTTTCTTATGTGCGATCGATCCTGCATGTCCGATAACCTAAAAGTACATTTTGACATTGTCACGTGATCACTGTTGTGGCGGCAAATTAGGCAATCCAATCCATCTCTCAAAACGAAAAATTCAATATGACGTGGCGGCCAGCAAGTCTGTTTCGAATATTTATTTCTATGCATATTTCGATTATTTTGCTTCGAGTTTTGCTTGCAGCTTTGATTTTGATTATTCAATAAAATATTTATTTACTAGGAAAGTAAACTATTAAGTCGGGCAGAAACTAGATGTCTTTTTGTATTTTTTGGTTCATGTGTGGCCGCCACGCCATCTTGAATGTCACGTGGTTTAGATTGCTTAATTCGTAAATTCAGATATGGAAACGCGAAAAGTGGGGTTAGATGGCAAAATTTCGAAGAAAGTTATTTGGAATAAGTGATTAGAACGATGTTTTGGGGCTGTCTGCGAAATTTGGAGGAAAAATAACAAAAAACAGGAAATTACTTGTTTTTAGCCATGGATCTCTTATCAAATATTATTATACAATTTTTATTATTCAAATGTTCCAAGTACTTACCTCAATATTTAATGTGTATTGGTGAAACAAGCTTAAATTCTTCATTGGAATGATTCCTAGAGGATTAAATAAAAATATTCGATTAGCACATGAAACTTTTCTGTAGCAATACCCTGTATCTTGACAGTTTCCGAGATTTTCAATAACTTAATGTTGATACAATAATTGAAAAGATTCCTTATTGAGATTTTTAATTAAATATTTCAATACAGTTCTAAAACACCTTACTTAACCAGTCCAGATACAGGGTATTGTTACAGAAAAGTTTCATGTGCTAATCAATAATTTCTATTTAATTCTCCAGGAATGATTCCAATGAAGAATTAGAGTTTGTTTTACCAATACACATCAAATATTGACGTACTTAGACTGTTTCAATAATAGAAACTGCATAATATTAGTTGATAAGAGATGTATGGCTAAAAACAAGTAATTTCTTGTTTTTGTTTTTTTTTTCTCCAAATTTCGCAGGCAGCCTTAAAACATCGTTCTAATCACCTTTTTCAAATAACTTTTTCCGAAATTTTGCCATCTAACCCTACTGTTCGCATTTCCATATGTAAATTTTTGAATTTGCCGCCATAACAGTGATCACGTGAGCAATGTCAAAATGTACTTTTAGGTTATCGGATATGCAGGATCGATCGCACATAAGAAAAAATTCCATATCCTAGAAATAAAATAAAAATCCCATATGTAGCGAACATTATGGGGGACACGTAAAAGGACATGGCACTAAATATTAGAATCCTGGTGATCGGTCGATTTTTTTAAAACTGCAGTATGTTATTCTATACCTGAAAACAAGCATTTTTGCTTATGGTCACTTCTTTGTACGAGTATCGGATGTCCCAGAAAATTAAGTCCAAAGTTTTTATATGGAAGATTTTGTTTGAAGCATAAACTATCTATCTGTTATGTATTTTTGCAACTTATACATTAAAGACAAAGATATTTGTATAGTTAAGAACAAAAATTATTATACAGGGTGTCTCAACAATTTTATTTTAAACCAAACTACACTCTAAAGAAAGCCAATAACCAAAATAACGGTTAAAAAAATTGAGTTCAAAGTTTTTATATTAAATGTTTGATGTATTGGTTTAGTGATTTTGAATATGTATTGGTCTGTTGTATTAACAACACAGTTAGGGCCAGTTTCACAAACATTTGTAACTTAACGGTAAACACAAGACACTGGTAACCTACAATATATCTGTTTCATGATGTGTGGTTTAGCCGAAACCTTTGGTCAAGCTTCAGAATATTCCATGTAGTCAACCCGCAAATATGAGTCCGATAGCCAGTGCAGGTTACCACCAATTGTGAAACTGGGCCTATATGGCATATTTTTGTATTTGTTGATCTATTTCTACAGTATTAAATCCAAATCGTTTCCAGGGAACAGCAGCTACTTCAAATAGTCTCTGGTGATCATTGTTACAATGTTTGTAGTTGTTATTGATATTTAAGGTTATTATAGTTTTGTAGCAGTTGTTTTGGTTATTGGCTTTCTTTAGAGAGTAGTTTGGTTTAAAATATAATTTTTGAGACACCCTGTATAATAATTTTTGTCCTTAACTACATAAATAGCTTTGTCTTTAATGTATAAAATGCAAAATCACATAACAGATCAGTTTAACAACGGCTAAACATAAGTTTATGCTTAAAGAAAATATTTCATATACAAACTTTGAACTCAATTTTCTGGGTCATCCCATACTCGTACAAAAAAGTGACCATAAGCAGAAATGCTTGTTTTCAGGTATAGAATAACATACTGCAGTTTTAAAAAAATCGGCCGATCACCAGGATTCTAATATTTAGTGCCATGTCTTTTACTACTAAACTGGTGGACAAATGAAACGGAACAAGCAAATTTTTAGGTTAACTTTGGATTCAAATATCAGGCGAACTAAAAAAGATATCAATGAGTGGTTTGCGGGATTTAAAAGATAATTTCAATCTGAACAAGCTGCTTTGGTCCAATTTTTCTGATTTGAAGCTCCTTACTAACTACAGGGTGAAAACGAAAATAAAGTGTTTTTCACCAAAATTTCTAAGTACCGGGTTTCCACAAAACAAAAACAAAATATTTTTTATTGGCATTTTTTTAGTCTCTTATTTATAAAGAAAGAACTAATCTCACAAATTTTTGATATTCCACTTCGTTAATGAAATTTCGATTTTTTTCTAAAATCCTTATTTTCAGGGTTTTTGTGTTGGTAGAACTTACTGTATTTTGTGAAAGAAGATTTTGGTAGGTGATTATAACACCCCACGTTTATTTCTGTCCTGTAATGAGTACATTCTAATTGATTTGATTTCTTGGTGAGAAGCGGCGTACCCATAATCGGTAAGTATCCATTCACGAATTACTTGAAACTCCGTTTTAAAGGGTCCACGTATATTCAATTGTCTCAGCCATTCTCAGTTGTTCAATTGGCCAATATCCACATAACTTTTTTGTGCATTTTGGATGCTCGCATTATCATAAAATGTGCAGGGGACCTATGTGAAAAGGGAAAATGCCTTTATTCTAAACAAAATAAGGTTTATGAAAACAAGTTTCAAACAACAATTGTTTGTAATTTGCACGTCTTCCAAACATATTTTTGATGTTGCTGCTTCTGTCTAAATCATCATCTTCTTGTTATTTTGAATGAAACACCCTGTATGATATTGCATTTTTTGATTTCTCCAAAAATTTGTACAATATCCTCTCTAGATAGATAATTTATGTCACTTGAGGACATTGTCCATAATTAAGAGATGCGTTATCATGGTAAGCATTAAACCAATCAATGGTTGAACAATGAATGAACTCCTTAGGGGGGCCTATACCTTATATTTTAGAAGAAAGCATAGGACTTTTAGAAGGAAGTTTTAAAAAAACGATAATGGATTTTTTGAACTTCAGGGATTAAAAGTACCCTTTTAATTCCTGTTTTAAGGGAGTAAAGTGAGTCTTTTAATCCCCGGGATTAAATTTCACTTTATTTCCCGGGGATTAAATGAAACAGGGAATAAAAGTACCCTTTTATTCCCTGTTTTATTTAATCCCTGGGAAATAGAGTAAAGTGCATAAAATAGTGTATACACCTCAGGACCAAAGTATTTTTTAATCCCTCAACAAATTTTTGTCTCGGAATTAAAAGTACCATTTTAGTCCCTAGGTTTATAATGAACTATTAATTTGCACATCTTCTAAAATTATTTTTAATATGGTACTTTTGCTGTCTCTTTCTAAACTTGCCATACCCTTGTTATGTCCAATGGAATACTCTGTATATTTTTTAATTTTTGGGTTTCTTCGCTAATTCTAGTCACATTTCATAAATAATATCCTAAGCTTAAAATTTAACTGTTTTTGACATAAAATCAGAATTTTGGAAGGTTGCTAGGCCGTAAAATTTAAACGGCTCCATATTTTTGTTGTAATCAATATTTCAAAAAAAGTTAAAGGTAGATAGAGGATAATATTCAAATTTTCGGAGAAATCAAAAAATGCAATATCATACAGGGTGTTTCATTCAAAATAACAAGAAGATGATAATTTAAACAGAAGCGGCAACATCAAAAATATATTTGGAAGACGTGCAAATTACAACAACGTTTGAAACTTGTTTTCATAAACCTTATTTTGTCTGGAATAAAGGTATATGCCCTTCCTACACAGGTGCCCAGCACGTTTTGTTGATAATAGGAGCATCCAAAATGCACAAAAAAATTATGTGAATATTGGCCAATTGAACAACTAATAATGGCTAAGACAATTGAAATACGTGGACTCGTTTCAAACGTAAAGAGTTTCAAGTAACTCGTGAATGAATACTTTGAAAATAACAGGATTTTAGAAAAAAATCGAAATTTTATTAACGGAGCGGAATATCAAAAATTTGTGAAATTAGTTCTTTCTTTATAAATAAGAGACTAAAAAAATGCCAATAAAAAATATTTTGTTGTTGTTTTGTGGAAACCCGCTACTTGGAAATTTTGGTTAAATAAACCTTATTTTCTTTTTCACTCTGTAGTCAGTGAGGAGCTTCAATTCAGAAAAATTCGACCAAAGCAGCGTATTCAGATATAAATTATCTTTTAATATCCGCAAACCGCTCATTGATATCTTCTTTAGTTCGCCTGATATTTGAATCCAAAGTTAACCTAAAAATTAGCTTGTTCCGTTTCATTTGTCCAGCAGTTTAGAAGCAACATAGAGGCATGTCTTCCGTTTTTGAGAAGATTGCTGAATTCCTAGTAGAAAGAAACGCTCTGAAAGTTTCTAACTACATATGTTTATTAAATTTATTGCGAAATCGTTTCAAATTCCATAACGCTATCTCACATAAGAACACAAATATCCCAAAAGACTCTCCTATTAGAAGCCCTCTAAAAGCTAGTTCTAATTGTATCAAAGACAGATCGTTTTCAACATTAAATTGTTGCTTGTACCTGACTGGCACATCTTCTTTAACCCCTAATTCCTTCACATGTAACAATAATTCTTGGATTGTGCTATGTACTATTGACTTCTTTTTCATAAAGTAGCAGCCATATTTTGGTATTAATAATTCGGGCATAAGTTCATATTTGAATTTAATATTTCTATTCAAATATTTTATTTTATACGAGTCCAATGTTTTAAAGGAACCAATAAAAGCGGCATCTACGCTATTTTTAAAAATCAACTCTCTGAAGTTAGTTAAGGTTAATATGGTATAGTTCATGCCCAAAGAATCGTAATTTCTATAAGTATAAACCGTTAGGTTGCTGTGCCTCAATTCGTCCAAAGTACGTATGCTATTCCCATACTGCGGTATCATTATACGGTTTAATAATTTAACTTCTATATAGGCCCAAAGGAAAAAACATGTTAATATCCAAAAATATTTTATACAAGATTTTTGCTTTGCAAAAGCTGGTGTTGATGATCTTAGCCCAATAGCTATAAAAGATATTATATCATAGTGCCTTTTTGTTAATGATAAATGTTTTTCAAACAACGTGACTAATATGATGATTAAAAAATAGATTAATATTGCCCAAGGAGCAGCCGCTTCATCGACAAAATTATTAGGTACAATCTTTGGTTTTGGAACCAGTGCTACAATATCATTCATCATATGAGGGTAAGAACAAGAAATTTCACCACTCAATTCATTTTCGGTCTCTTCTGTACTGTAAGGTTGAGTAACCGGACTAAATTCAGCATTTTTCTCCACAATTTCAAGTACGATTTGTGGAAATTTTAAAGTATCCAATGGATATAGATGGCTGACAAGAGTACAGTTTGTGATTTTTTTGAAGGATTCGAGAAATATTACGTCGTAATCATAGCGAGGTTCAAGTGATGTTAAATTTTGGCCCACGATTATGTTTACAGGATATCCATACATATTCTTGAGTTTATTAGGATATTCATCCACAGTTTCTTGTAGTTTTTTGCCATTTATTAATTTCAGCTCATTACTGAATGGATTATAAAAACCAGAATGTATGGTTTCATTGTGATATACTACTACAGAATTTAATAAAGAATATTTCCATAAAAGTTCCAATAAATTCATTATTGTTAAATCATCTTCAATGGTATGACAAAATAGAAATTTTTGTCTGCCTCTATTGTTAAAATATTTTGAAGTTACAATTCCCTGAATTAAATCTTCAAAATTATCTTCCTTGTCCAAAAAATGCATTGAAACAGTTTTAAAAGTTTCGACATAAAGGTCAGTTTTTTTCTCAGGATATATCAATTTGGGACATTTAGTAGCTTTTAAAAATGCAGTAATATCTTCAACACAAGCTCCAAAGTTTTTATTCTGTGTTATATCGCAAGTCCAATATCTTCCTTGAGGCCTTGTATATTTCGCGTAAATCTTGTAGTCTTCTAATAAACTATTTGAAGGCATTAGCAAATAATTGTTACTACTGCAAGTGGTAAAATATAACATGAACAATAATAACTTATACATTTTGTTTCTCAAGAAGATATTTTTTATATCAAACAGTGGAGGTGGTTTCACTAGAATAAAACAGATAATATTGAATTCTCATGATATATTTTGTTTAATAATGGGTTTATGACAGTAAGTTACGGAATTGAAATATTATAAAAACACATTATTTTTAGTCATCAATTCTCCGGAACTATTAAATCTAGGAACCAATAAATCTAGGTAATTTGGAATCTATTTTTTATATCTAATTGTATTTCCGAGTATATTATTACCTTTATAGTGTTTTTCGTGGAGGTTTAGTCTTTAGCATACCGTTAAAGGCAGACCAATGACTAATGAGTAAAAAAAGGGTCTTGTAGGTATCTACAGTTGAATTTTTAGACGAATAAATTCTAGACCTGTCATCTCTCAGAATGGCAGGCAGATGGTTGATAACTTCGGTTCATTCTCAGTTGCGCGAAATTCGCTTTTAACATTGGAAATGTTTATGTTCTCGTATATGGGGATTAAATTCGAAGTTTTTGTTCAAGGTCAAAAGACAGCGGTGTCGCCAGGGCCCAGGGGCGTGCGGTGAAATAGCCCGAAGCCCGAAGGTATGTTGCATGTATGTTGTTATCTAGGCGGACAAAATTTAAAAAAAAAAAAAAAAAAACTATTGGGATAATGGGACAAAAATCATAGCGTTAAGCATTTGTTCTATTAGATGGGGATTTCAATAAAATAATAGATATTTACGATACAAGTGAGTTAACAGCATACTTAAGATACGCGTGTGGAAGTTAAGTTATGTGTAGATATCTTACTGACGTAGATAAATATATATTATGTGTTAAATTAGGTTCCATATGATGGTGTTATCATTTGCAATGTCTCCGATGGCTGCAAAATCTGTGAATATTTTTGACATTTTGACGTTTTATGCGTGTATCGAACTGGCGTCAAAATTTCATGGGTGATTTCAGCATAATTTTTCTTCATTCTGTACGGTAGTTTTACTTGATAGACACTTTAAGCAGGTCCTAAATTTCAAAGGTATCCGTATCCGCATCCATCTGCGCATGTGCAGACTAGATACGGTGATTTCGTTGGTTTCGTTGTGCGCATCGTTACGGGCCTAGCCTCGTATCCGTATCCGAAAACGTATCTCAACCATTTGACACTATTGAGAGATATTCCTGTCAGTTATCACTTAAATAACTTTTTCGTGATACTGTACTGTTATCTTCATATGAGCGAAATTGAAAAGGTATATCTAACGGGCTGCCGGCCGTTATTTATCCACCGACCGGTTAAATATAAATAACAGGCCGCCAGCCGTTAAATTAACGGCCGCCAGGCGCCAGCCGGTAGAGTGTTTTTTTGTTGTTGTCAGATTCAAAGATATCTGCAGTATAACGAAAAATCTAGAACGAAACACGGCCGATAACTGCAAATAACAGCCTTGATTGATTATGATCCTCGGTTATCGCCTCGGATCACAAACTTCAGCCCGGCCGTTATTTGCTTCTTATCGGCCTTATATAACGGTATTAACAATAACAACATAAACACAGTACATATACAGGTTGTATATTTTAAGTGATACCACTATTGCTATATCCGAATCGGTAAGAGCTACAAGGTCGGTTAAATTAAAAATAAGTTGCCTTTTTTGATGCCTATTCAAGACTCGTTCACAGTGTTGCCGAATTCCTTTTAGTTTATGAAATACAGGTTCATAAGTAGGGCCGAATTGAGGTAAAATTTCAGTGAAAATCACTGACAATCACTTTTTAGAGCAGACACGTCGGATAATGATATACTTAAGAGGTATATCGTTAGAAGCGGATTAAAGGGCGCTTTCTGACATGAAAAATCTACGTCTGTATTCAAAAAAATGAAGTTGATGATGGTAATTCAATCACGAAACGTCGGATTCAAAATTTGAAAATTCCATGTTGTAGAGCGAAATGAATCATAAAACTTTCAAATTTAAATTTTGTCTCGAAAATCAATAGTTTCTGAAATAATTGATGAAATATTTTTAGACGTTTCTTAAGAATAACCTTTTATTTCATAAACTAAAAAGAATTTGGCAACACTGTAAACGAGTCTTGAATGGGTATCAAAAAAGGCAAGTTTTCTCTAACTTAACCGACCTTGTAGGTCTTACCGTTTCGGATATAGCAATAGAGGTATCACTTAAAATATATACACCCTGTATAGATAAAAAGAAAACCTACAAACACAGCTACAAATCAACATAACATTTTTTGAGGTTATAAAACGTTTCATCCAAGGATACGATTGTTTACGAAATGTATGGCCACGCTTAAAGTGACTTTTAGGCGTTCAACGTAAGTCGATGCGTTTAGGGATGCGGATACGGATACGTAAAGAAAGGATGATGTACACTTCAAATGGAATTTTAAAAAATCCACGATTTTGATGAAATTTTGGTATGTTGTAGATCTCGATCTTCTGATCAAAAGTTCTCAAGATGATCCTATGACTGGTTTCCGAAATACAGTGGCGGGTATAGGGCTACAGGGGATCCTAAAAAAATATAATCCTTCTTTATAATTCATACTTTCTATACAACAATCGGACGTTCAAGTTAAAGGGTTTTTGTGAAAATATGGATATTTCCACCTTGGGTACAAATGCTACTGGAAGTTATAGACAGTACCAATAGGTATACATCGTTTAGGAAATCTCACTTGACATGCAAATTACTCTGGGGGTGGTTTAAAGGGGTGAAACTAATTATTGCGATTCATCGAAAAAAGGGTTTTTGTGAAAATACGGACATTTCCACCCTAGTCTCGGGTACAAATGGTACTGGAAGTTATAGACAGTACCAATAGGTATTCATCGTTTAGGAAATCTCACTTGACATGCAAATTACTTTGGGGGTGGTTTAAAGGGGTAAAACTAATTATTGCGATTCATCGAAAAAAGGGTTTTTGTGAAAATATGGACATTTCCACCCCAGTCTCGGGTACAAATGGTACTGGAACTGGAAGTTATAGACAGTACCAATATGTATACATCGTTTAGGAAATCTCACTTGACTTGCAAATAATATTGGGGGTGGTTTAAAGGGGTAAAACCATAGGGTAAAACTAATTATTGCGATCCATGAAAAAAAGGTTTTTATGAAAATATGAACATTTCCACCCTAGTCTCGGGCGCAAATGGTACTGGAAGTTATAGGCAGTACCAAGATACACCGTTTAGGGTACCTAAAAAGACTTGCAACTAACTTTGGGGGTGGTTTAAGGGGGTAAAACTAATAATTGCGATTCATCGAAAAAAGGGTTTTCGTGAAAATACGGACATTTCCACCCTAGTCTCGGGTACAAATGGTATTGGAAGTTATAGACAGTACCAATAAGTATACATCCTTTAGGAAATCTCACTTGACATGCAAATTACTTTGGGGGTGGTTTGAAGGGGTAAAAATAATTATTGCGATTCATCGAAAAAAGGGTTTTTGTGAAAATATGGACATTGCCACCCTAGTCTCGGGTACAAATGGTACTGGAAGTTATAGACAGTACCAATATACATCTTTTAGGAAATCTCACTTGACTTGCAAATAACTTTGGGGTGGTTTAAAGGGGTAAAACTAATTATTGCGATCCATGAAAAAAAGGGTTTTCATGAAAATATGGACATTTCCACCCTAGTCTCGGGTAGAAATAGTACTAGAAGTTACCAGTATCAATATCCACCATTTAGGGAACCTCATTTGACTTGCAAATTACTTTGAGGGGGATTTAAAGGGTTAACACTAATAATTGCGATTCATCAAAGAAGGTTTTTGTGAAAATATGGATATTTCCACCCTAAATCATTCCACTTAGTATACGGATACAGCGCGTGAAATAAACGTAGTCTTTATCACTTTTTGTATTAAATTTTTACTTTTTGTGAAAGAATTTCTATTTACCCTTATTTTTGCGTAGCCCCATACCCGCCGCTGTATTTCGGAAACCATAAGTCAAGGGCTCATCTTGGGTCCATGAGAACTTTTGATCAGTAGATCGAGATCTACAACATACCAAAATTTCATTAAAATCGTGGATTTTTTAAAATCTGATCTAAAGTGTGCATCGTCCTTTATGGTTTGCTTAAAATGTCTAATGATTAATGACTTAAGTAACGTTACTGTCAGCTGGCACACTGCCGTGGCAAAAGGGTAGTAAAAGACCGCGAATCTAGTAAAAGAAAAAAAATCTGGTCTTTTTAGCAAAGCTGGAAAGACGATAAAAGTAATAGTACATTACATTACGAGTGTAGAAAGTGACAAATTTCACACCAGTGTATGAAAGACGCTTTCTCACAAGTGATGTACACCATTTTGCCTACGACCAGAAACCGATTCACACCATTTTTTTCTTATTTTATTTCTTGTCATTTTCAACATACGTGCTGAAAGTACTTTCAACCCAAGTATTGAAAGTAAATTGTGATGTAAATCACAAATAATGTCAACAGTATTTTCCACGCTGTGCTGAAAGTACTTTTAGCAGGCTTATTGAGAGTACTTTCGGCACGTATGTGATATTTAGCGCTTTCCAAAGAATCAACTAGTGCGGATTTTGTCATTTTCATATGTGGTCGTAGGAAAAAGTACTTTTCAACGCATTTTAAGTAAGGGACTTGCCGTTGTTTTTGGTTGGCAACGGCACGCGATGTTGCATGATTTATATAAACATTTTCAAATAATACGTGTCAATCAATGTGTCGATCCATTTCGTTATTTTTAGCTGTCAGTGGTCTTTATAATTTATCAATAACTATTTTGTGAAATCCTAATTAAGTGCCAAAAATACGTTACAGTTAGAAAAACTTATTTATGATATAAAGGCTAAAAGTGACATTTTATTTTGTGAGAAGGGAAGTTTGGGACACGACGCCGAAGGCGGAGTGTTCTATCCCTTGGAAATATAATCACTTTTAGCACG